TTATATATTTGTTAGTAACACAATATAAACATTATGTAACATGTATTAAGGAAACCTGTCTCCAGTAAGAATAATCTAGTAAAAAAAGATAAAACATGTTGGAGAGTGAGAAAATAAAAAGAGAATGTATGAAAATTAAATATGAATCATGAAAAATACGTAACCATTAAAAACTGGTTGCACTGACCTACTTAAAATTTTGAAACAAGTTGGGCTTATCAATAATTTAGGTCCATTAAACTAATATCTGGGCCTTACCTACCCATTTTAAAAAAGAAAAAACTAAATTACTTTTAATATGTTATGTTTACCCAAAAAAATTTAAAATATTTTATTTCAAAATTTATAAGTAACAAAACAAAATTATGAGGAATTTGTTTAAACCTGATATTCGTTTGTTGAGTATAATTTTACAACCATCACATTAATAATGTATAAAATGCATTATGAAATATATAATACTTTTAAAATATATATATATATATATATTAAAAAGTATTATATATTTTAATTCATTTAGGTCATATTATTATATTCTTATATTCACTAATAAGTTCAAATAAATTTAAAACACAGATCATATTAACAAAATTTGAAAATAAATATAAAATTAAAAAGAAATACATTGTTCCATACTTGTCAATGATGTGATAATATATATATATATATATAATTTTTATTTTTCAAAACTTATCATTCATCAAACTAAACATAAAAATCATTGATCTTGTTTTATTTTAAATTGAGAATAATTTAAAATATAACGAATTTATTACAATATATTTAAGATTAAATTATTATTTTTTATAAAAAATATTAATAATTTAAGAAAACGTTTAGATTAATTAAAAAAAGATATTTTTAAACTTTTATTTTTATGTACGAAGGTTTGAGCATAAAAAAATCTTTAGATTTTTTTTAATTTATTTATTTATTATTGTTGATAATTTAAAAGAAGAGACAAGACTATAAACATTGTCAAAAAGTACCAAAAGATGAGGATGATATCTGAAATTCTTATCTTATACAGCCGCCTAATGTTCTGTAATCATGTCTGCTCGCTCCCTTTTCTTTTTGAGTATTTCCACCATTTATTTATTTATTTATTTATTTATTCTCTTATTCTCTTGTTCAACAACCACTCAATAGTCATGAAACCCTAAATCATTAATTAAATCAACCACCCCTCTTAATTGCGGCCCTAGATTAATCCTTTTCCATAAATTAAATACCAAAATCCAGAACAATCATTTCTTTAATTAATGTTATGTCACCAATTATAACATCATTATGCCATGCTTGTGTGCAATGATCTTTGATGTGCTCCAACTAGCTGATCATTGTCCCATCATGTAATTCATGATTCAACTCATCATGATACTATCATTCTTATTTATTTATTTTTATCACTCACTCATTATTGCACCTACATATATATCATTTTATACTCTCCCCACCTAAAAATTATTGATTATATATTTTATACTCATCATCCGACATGCTACCATTATTTTAGAAAACTTTTTAGCAATTCTTATATTATAAGAATTCAAAATAAAGAATGGTTTGATTTGATTTTGTTTGTTTAGCTTTTGAGAACCTTTTAGAAATGAATTTTGAAAAACTAAGTTGTATTTTTTTAAATAATTTTGTTTTTTTTTATTATTTAAAAGAAAAATATTTGACCTAAATGGCAATAAAAACTTGTGATAAAAAAGAAAATTAAAAAGTAAATAATTTTAACATTTTCATAATTATGTGGTATTATTTGTTTTAAATAGATGAAAGAAGAAGATATTTAGTTAGAATTAAACTCTATCTTTAACCTATTCGATATCTATTGATTAACAAAAACCTCTTCTATTAATTTTAATTTTTAAAAACTATAAAAAAAAACAAAAGAAAATTAATAATTGTTTTAATAAAATATTTATCAAACAATATTTTTTTAGTTTTTAAAAATTAAAAATTACTTTTAAAAACATTAAATAAACCTATTTAAAAAAGTTTTTTTTTAATAAAAATATCACATAGTATAATAAAATATATTTAAATTGGGTATTATTATTCGATGTTACCTCAATCAATGTTGTGACGAAGATATCATCATATCTCATGTAATAGGGCAGGCATTAACTATTTTTCTATGAAAAAAAATGGAAGAGATAGAATAAAAAGAAGTATTAGTTTTTTTTCTATGCTGAAACGATAAAATGGAGATTTTATATGATCTTATCTCTATTATTTTTATTTTTTTAGCCTGGTTTATCCAAAATAAACATAACATATATCATTTTCACATATGCAGTTACGTACAACTTCGAATGAATCTTCAATTCAAACTAGAAATCATTATTTTAGTTTCAATCCATTTCTTTTGTATTTGTATGGATAATGAAAGAAAAAAAAAAGATAGTATATAAAAAACATGGCAATCCTTATATTTTCGTTCGTGAGTATGAGTATTACCTCTTTATTAATAGGAAGAGTACGATGATTATGATATTTGTATTAGTTTATGTTATCCATTAATATTTTTAATTAATTTTTTTATAATTACATTATTAAAATAAAATTATTGGGAAAAATATCAATTATTTAAATTTAATTTATAAATTTATATTTTTATCTAAATTTATTAAATTAAAACTATATTCAAAGTGATTAATATTATTTAAATTAAAGTTTGTATTACAATTTATTTATTTAAATATTTTGCAAAGAATAATTTTATGTATACTAATATTTCATGATACAATTTTATTTAAATAATTTTTTAATACTATACATTTTTTTATTAAAGTGTATATTTTAAAGAATGATTTTAAAAATATTAAAATAAAAAATCTTCATATGTATCTATAGATAAGGATAATAGGGAATTATTTTTGAGAGGGGTAGCAGATAAATATTATATTAAAATAATTTTTTAAATAATTTTATTTAAAATAAAAAACATATTCATATATATATATATATACATTTTAATTTATTTTAAAAAACATATTTATTTTTTAAAGTAAATTAAAATTATATTAATTTATTTTAAAAAATAAAATAAAATAACACTCAAAATAATGGTAAGAAAAAATATAAAATAAAGAGAAAAAAAAAGAAAAAGGTAGGTATAATATATTTGAAATGAGAATAATGGTGGTAAAACGGAAAGGTGGCAATTAAACCTGACATGGCTCTCTATTCATAACCCACGCGTTGATTTGGAAGTGAAACAGAGGGATTGAGCCGTCCCTATCAGGTGAAAGAGTAGCACCGTTTTATTCATGTGGTGAAGTTGGACGCTGGTCAAAGAATCTTCAAGATGTGAATGACCAACGTGGATACAAAGAAAGAAAAAAAAAAAAAGATAAGGGTGAGATTTGAGGAAGGAAGAAGCTACCACATCTATTGTTGCAAACGTGTCTACCATTGCACACTTATTTATGTTAGGTGAGAAGGTTTATGCTACCCTGCCAATCATAACACATTATTCCTTCACAATGCCCATTTATTATAAACATTGATGTATATCTTCTGCTACCAATCTTATGTAGCATATATTTATGTATTGGACCCTCTCCCTCTTTATATGTAGTTCCCACACACTTTACTACATCTCAACATTTTCATGTTTCTCTCTGCATCCATTGTCATGGAATTTCCCAACTCAAGTCACATTTGTGTAATGTCATTGTAACTAGAAAGAGTAAAATAAAAGTGAGACAAGGGACATTTTCTAAACCTTTTCCAAAGAGTTGGTTTCCAAATAACAAAAAAAGTAAGATTTGAAGGAGGAGTAACTGGTAGTGAAATGGTCTAATCAGATTGGTTGTTGATAGAGAGAGAGCAAAAAAAGAAAAGAAAATGGGAAGATATCTATCTCACTTGACTTGTATTGGAAAAAAAAAGAGGTGGTTATTGTGCTAGTACAGCTCACATAACCATATGAAGGAGAAAGAATCTGATGATTGAGAGGTTGGTTTTTCCAAGAACTGGGATTGAGGTCCTATCCTCTCTCAATGCACACCACAACCCTCCATCCATCAAACTTCACAACCCAAATGTGTGTGTTTTGTGTTGCCAAGAAACTGAACATGTCATCAGTGTTGAAGGGTTTGTGTTCTGTCCCTCTCTTCCTACGCGGTTTGTTTTGGGCCTAGTGCTGCAATGGCCACGGTTTTGGAATTCCACTCAAGATCAAAGGATGGTCCCTAACACATGAGCCCACAAGATGTTCTGATCATTGCCATGTGCTGTAATCTCAACAGTGTTTTCAGTACCTTTTCTATTTTTTTATTTATTTTCCTTTTCAGATATTTTCTGGCTCCAATGCTGGTGTGGTGATTCATGAGAGCAGATTTTGTTCACCCTTTTTCTTTTCTTCATACGAAAAGTTACCTCTCTCACTGTGCCAAATTCAAGTTCATTGTCATGAGATACGTTGTACGGATACACGTGTTCATGTACCATTCGCAATGTCACTTTTTACGTTAGTGTTACAATTTGGACTTTTTTTGTTTAACATTAGGAGTTTGTGCTTTTATCAAACATTACTCATGTTTGAGTTGCATCACTTATTGTGGAGATATTTGAATTAAAATTTAAAATCTTGTAGAACAAGAATATTAACATTATCTTTGATATATTGTACATAAGTTAGAGATTGGATTTGTTATGCAGCAGAGTGAAGGATTACTGAGAGAAATATGTACCAATAATAAAGTTTTTAGTTATGAGCAATTATGCATGGAATATATATAATACTTATTCTTATATCGTGTGAGGCGTTTGACCACAAACAAATCTCCATTGTTAACAACATCAGATGTCATTCACTAGTGTTGAAGCAAAAGGGGTATATATGCTGTCCTATCTATGCAGCATTCTGGTTGAGAAAAAGCCTGAAAGTAGCAAAACTAAAAAAAAGGAAAAAAACCATTTATAGTATAAACCGTAACCCCCCCATTTTGTATTGACAAGTGCCCTGATACTCCTCTAGCATATTATGAAGCTGCAATTCTCTCAAAATGTCCAAGCCTATTATCAGCCAATCTTGAACCATAGGTTGAATTCTTGTACTCAAACCACGTAAACTCGTTGTATAGGCTTTCTTTTCCTTTCATGAGAGAGGGCAATGGTGCTATTTTCTCACTCAAAGGTGGACCTCCAAAGTAAATCATTGAGAGCCTGGCTTTGAACCCATTTGCCAAAACCCTGTGTCTCACACTCCGGAACCGTCCATTAGTCATAACCTATGTTGATGCACCGACCAAAAGAAAAAACGAAAAACACACGCAATAAACACGTTAGAGTACTAATCAGAAACAACGATAAACCAATATATTAAATCATATGACAAACCCCTTTTGAATATAATATTATTCCATACTGACATAACGTGAAAGAAAAAACTTTTTGCTCCTCCTTTTCAATTTCCTTTTTGAAATTTTCTCCATGGTGTTTTGGAAAGGGGAGGGAGTTGAAAGACCAAGTGGAAATGTAATAATTAACAAGTCAACCAAAATTTTCAGCACTCACATTTTCAAAAAGGTACTCAAAAGGGGGAGTTTGTATTTCCTTTTGCTTATCCATAGAAATAGGAAAGTCACAAGGAAAATGGATTTTTATTTCTCATTTAACTTTTTGGTATGTACCAATAGCATCCTTTGTGTTGTATTGTACCTGAAGAGAATCTCCAACATTGATGAAGAAGGAGCTGTGATCAGGTGGGACTGAAATCCAGCTTCCATCTCTGAGATAAATCTGAAGGCCCGAAGTGTTGTTGGACCTTAGCAGAGAGATGATTTGTGGGTCTGTGTGTTCTCCAAACCCAATCAAGTTCTGACCCTTCACAGCAAGTTCAGGGCAAGCAGGGTAATGATTCACCCTGAAAACCGAGTCACTCTGTTTATCCATCAGAAGCTTGCTAAACACATTCTTCTGCTGAATCTTCAACCCTTCTGCCATCAGCTCAAGAATATCGCATGCCATTTTCTTCACAGAAGACATGTAACTGTTCAACAGACCCCTGCAATATAGCACCACCAAGAAAAAAAATTAATCAGTTTCTTAACTTTTTAGTTCATTTATACATCATACAAGTTAGTTGAAACTGGTTCTGTTTTGACATGTCGGGTACCTGAATTTCTCAGGGTTTTGGCCACACAGAGAAAAGTTGTGTTCTTGATTGGTGTTGAGAAGAAGGTACTCAACCCAACCAACATCACCATTGCGTCCAATCCTCTTGCTACCATACCCAAATGGATTGGGAGGCCCTGCTTTTTCCTTCTCATTGAGCGACATAGAGAAGAACTTGAAGGCCTCGGTTTCCAATTGGGATATAGCATCCATGGGGACACCATGGTTGATGACTTTAAAGAATCCAAACTCCTCACAAGCCTTCACTATGAGGGTCTTCGCATCAGGTTTGGAAAGGTCCACTATGGGAATTGTGGAGGAGAATGTGGATGCCATGCAGTTCTTGACGTAGGAGTAGTGTTCTGTTGTTGGTTTGGACAACAATACCATTCTTCTTGCAGATTGCTCTGCCGGGTGCTAAATGGAAGGAAGAGGAAGGTGTGAGAATGGAGAGGTTTCTGGAGAGTCAATGAATGAATGAAAGAGAGAGAACTTGATGAGGGTTTGAGCAAAGGATGCTTGTGAGAGAAACGGTTGTGTTCTAGCCTATTTATACCCAAAAACTGGTGGGGCATTGAAAAAGAAAGTGAGAGGAAAGCTAGATGATTCAATGTCTAATTTTGAAATGAGAGACATCATGTGATATTAGTAGATAATCATGTCCATTAACTATGTCTACAGAATATTATATTAAGTGTGTATCAAATATCTCTTCACCTTCAAATCTAATTTGAATATGCTTTCACCTTCAAAATTATTTTCATATGCTTTCAATATAAAAATATAAAATTACAAGCAACAGAATATTATAAGAAAAAAAAAAAGAGATTTTTTTATTAGTTTTTTTTTTCCATTCTGAATCACCAACATTTGTTTCAAACAGGGTATGGCCATCACAATCCTGCTGAAATAGCAATCGAGTCATCACCTACCTAAGCATTATTTACATGGATAGATTTTCTCCCACTAAAATATGCATGACAACTTTATCACATTGAAGGGATGTAGTCACATCAAAGAGATTCCTCTGATAAGGTGTTCATCTATGTTTTCCACTTTTCCCTTTGAATGTAAATGTTTTTTCTTTTTCTGTTTCTCTTTCCCTGGCTGTTCACATTGCATCTTGGTGCTCTTGGAAAACAATGGAAAATGGCATCTTTGGGTGGTAACTTGCAAAAACAGAAATGGTAAATAAAACCTAGCACGAGGTTGAAGTAGCATGCATGCATCTATTCATATATCTGAAGGAGTTGAGTGCATGATTCTGCATCATGAGCTTTAGTCACAGCCATATAACATGCGTGGAAACATTCTAATTGTAGTAAAAAGGTAGGACATTGGTATAATGTTTTGATGCTATGATATATTTTATATTATATTCCCTTGTTCATTCACCCAAGAAACTATATTCCTCCTTATCTAAAATCCATACTTTGGGTTTCCCAATACAATGTGCTAGTCTTGTTCATTTTATTCCATGTTTTCTTCATTCGGTTCTTTCACACCCATTCTTCCTATCTGTCATCCTCTTCTGCATATGTCTCCAAATATATCTTCTAAATCTTTCTCTTTCCTGCCCTACATCTTCGTCGATTCAAACTAGAACCAATTATCTAGTAGCATGTATCAATAAAGTAAAGCAAAAACGTGTTTATCAAATTCATACATGTTTTTATCCTTCTTATAACTTGCTATTTAGATAATCAAAATATATGTTTTTGTTATATTTCATCGTGTTAATAAATTTAATTATTAGAAATAGTAAGATATTTAATTACAAAATTAACATTAATAATATATTTATTTATATATTATAATTTTTATGAATTTCTAATTGATGTAGGATTTTATTATACCTATAATATTTTTATGACTCAACATAATAGTAAAATACCTACCAAATTATTCAATATAATAAAAATTATATTAACTTATATACTATAATATTATTATCGTATATATCTAATCGATATAAAATTTCATTTCCATCCTCTTAAAAAAAATGATATAATTTTTTTAAGTATATAAATTAAATGCGTTTGAAGTTTAAAGTTTAAGAACTACCTTTATATTAATTATTATATATATTGATATTGTAAACATGTTTAATTAAAATTATAGAAAGTAGAAACACTTTTTTTCTTACATAAAATTAAAAATTTATTAAGTAACTCTATAAAAATAAGGATTGTTATTAAAAATCAATATTAGTAATTAAAATGGACTTCAGATCATAAATGAAAATTAATACGAAAGAAACCTAAAATATTGAATTAAAATCAACTTCAATTAGCACGAGGTACTCCATGGTTAAAGTTTTTTTTATTTCACGCAATAGATTGTCTTGTTTTGCATGTATAGGCAAACTTGTTAGTGTCCCATATATATATATATATATATATATATATATATATGATTGGTGCACAAGAGGGTTGTAGAGTTTTTGAAGATGCAAAGTTCTATTTAAAAAGATAATAAACTTGGTTACTGGAAAGGAGGCCCAAACATGATAACAAGCATATTGTAGAGGAAAAAAAAATAGAATTTAAAAAGCGAAAAAGAGAAAGAAAAACTACTATAAAATTAATTAATATTTGTGTTGACAATAAAAGTATCTAGGAATATTATTAAAAAATAGATTTTTTGAAAAAAAAATTATTGGTTGTTGATATTATATATGTAAATGTTATCAATGTGAAAAGTGTAAATATTAGAAAATGTAAAATGACAATATTGACGTGGAAGAGAAAGAAGAATATTAGAAGAAAATCTAAAAATGACAGTGATTAGGATACAGAGAATAAATAGAAAGAAGGATTCTAAATCGCAAACTTATCAATCACGTCATTCTAAATAAATAAATAAAAGTTGAGAAAATTGATGGGTTTGTAAGAAATAAGAATAATGGTGCTCATAAATAAGCATGATTGCGTTGAATACAGAAATTAAAGAAAGAGAAAGGTATTAACAGCAATGTAAGAGAGAAAAGGATTGAAGCGTGATTGAAGAAGAAAAAAAGAAGAGAGTAGCACTCACCCCTTCTAGACATGTATCAAACATCTTTCGTTCTTGGGGACCATGCCAATTCATTTTCCTATTTTCTTTATTATTATTATTATTATTTTCACATAGCTTTCACTTACAACATTAAAAAAATATTATTTTAAAATCTATTTTTACAATATGGACTTAGATGATATAGGTATACATTAATTATTAAAATTGGATAACATTATTTAAAAAAAAAATACATTTTCGTAAGATTTATGATGATATATATCAAAATAATAATAATATTTTTAGATGGAATCCAATTATACCATGCTTTTCTTTAGACATAGAAGACATTCTCCGTGGTTCTTCCTATATTTGCCTAGGGGGACCATTTTTTATGATATACATTCAATTCAAATGTTACCCTTTCTTTCTATTTCACTTTTTTTTTTAATTTCTTTCTTTATTAAGACATATATTACTCCATGATACAGCCTGGTTGTTTAGCATCACTTTCAAGGTGAAGAAAAGTTGTTCCTACACACTAGCTTTGGAAAACTTTATCATTTTAAAATTAATCCTACCATTGTCTTCCAACTAATTCAATTTTTATTTAAGAGTTTACGTTTAAAAAGTTACTCATCATATTTAAAAAAGTCGTAGTTCAGTATGAATATTGCAAATATTTTTGTATGCTTCTTTCCCTCAATCACTTTCCATTGCTAATTTTTTAGCTTTTAATCCCATTGTGAAACTTATTGCATTGCTTGTTGGGGATGTATTTTTACATTCCACGTTTCTAAATCACCTAACTCTTTAAGCAAAGGTCATACTTAAACGTAATTTGCCCTAATAAGTGCTTTTCCTTTTCTTTTTCTTTTTCTTTTTCATTTTCATTTGTTTCGTGTAGGAATAGACATTATTGAGAAACATATAAAATTGGGAAGAATGAAGAAATTTTGGTCATAATTGACAGAGACAGTCAGCAATGTATATATCTTGGGTTAAATCCATTGTGGGGGCACACCAGCCATGAAAGAAGCTTGAGGTTGAGATGGAGAGGGACGCATATTAAAAAAATTATAATTATTATAAGATTTTTTTTATGGAAAATAATTATCAATGAACTTGAATAGTTAGTTTAGACGATTACGATTTCGAAATCTAGTTGATCAAGCTTTATTGAAGATTAGATATTGTTTGTGAAATAGTACATGTTTTATAAGTTATATAAAAACATAAAATAAAAAATAATGAGGGTTGTTGCAATAGTTGACTATGATTGAAAAGTCATGGATGATTAATATTAATAGAGAAAAGCAAAATGAATAAAAGAAGAGAAAAACATTGAAATAGGATAAAGTTAGAATGGCTGAAGAATCTGAAACCTCAAAGGGGCTCCATTAAACTTGTGTACTAGAAGCCACAGTTTGCAGAGTGGAAAGTGACAACGCTAACATCTCCCGTTCATTGCAGAGCATCCTCTTGCACGGACACCATCTTGCCACACCCACACCTCCGAATCATATTTATTATAATAATATTATTATCATTATTTATAAAAAAAATCATACATATTATATATACCAGTCCAGTTTTAATTTATATATATTTTTTTCTCTTAATCTATCAACTTATCTTTTAAGGATAAATAATCATAGTAAATATTGTTGAAAGTCTCACATCGCCTATCTTATGTTATTTGGTATGATTTAAATACATATTAGACTACTTCATATATTGTCAATTGATTTTATATTAGAATCTTAATAAATATGAACAGTTTATTTTCCAGATTCTTACGTTAGACTTGACTAAATTAGTTACTAAACTAATCAAGTTTTAATACCCAGATTTTTCTAGTACCACTAATCCCATATCTTAATAAAACAATTTTTTTTTTTAACTTGAACATCAAAATCATTATAGAATGCACCCTCGTCATCACTTAATGCGAAAAGATCCATTGATATCATGAGCATGGAATAATTGTGAGAGAAATAAAAATGAAGAGAGCAAGGGGGAAGAATTATTGGTATATATACATCATTGCAGCTATGGATGCATTATTGGTAATTAGTCCATCTATATCGATTAGAACGTGATTAGTGGATTGAAAGCGAAAGTCATGAAAAAGAGGCAACGTCTAACATTGATATTGCATTATAAGATGAGTTTAATCCATGCAAAAAGAGAAATGTATATAATAATCAACAAGAACAATAATAATGATAATGTTTTGTTTGTTAGAACTTGGTTGATGAGAACATAAAAGATCTACATGCATCTGAGTGATGGTTGAAACAGAACCTCTATATTTTTCGTGACCAAAAGTTTAGGAAGTTGAGGTTGTCTGATTTAAAGGGTAGGGCAAGTGACATGCCTGAACGTAAATT